CGCAGAGACGAGTCGGCGGAGGGGAAGGGGTCGTTCACCCACTGGGACGGCTGGTTCGTGGCTCACGCCGAAGATGGGACCCGCGCCGGCGGTTCGTGTCCCTACAGTTGTGGCTCTCTCACAATCGTCTCTACGTGTCGCTCACCTCATGGCACGGCATCAGGCCTCACCGGGTTCGCGTACAAGGAGAAGCCCATGCCCAACTTCTCCGCCCTCCTGGCTGCCGTGTTGGCCGCCAAGCATGGATGGGTTGGAGAAGACTTTGTTGCCCTGAAGGATCGGTACGCGATGCACAACACCGCCAGGCATGGCATTTGCTGACAACACCAAGGCGCAAACCAGGATGGCGGCGGTGATGAGCTGCATGGTCGCTTTGGCTGGTAAGCTGCTGGTCTCTCCTCAAATCAACGCCCCGGTCGGGCCTGACTCTTTGTCTCACCCGCTGTGTGGTCGTGATGTGTTCTGCTGCCCTCGCCCAGGATCGGAAGAGTTCTGGGTGGTGGAGTTCGTAGCCACGAAGCCCGAGTTCCGTAGGCAAGGCGTCAACAACCTCCTCATGCAGGCCGCCCTTGCCAAAGGTGCGAGTTGTGTCGTGTGTGTCGTGTGTCGTGTGTGATGATGAGGCAATTATTGAAACCAATTCTGGTGAGTAGGTAGGCAGCTGGGTTACACGAAGGCGCAGATCACTGTGCTCAGCGATAACACCGCTGCGATCAAGGCGTATGAGAAGGTGGGCTTCAGCGAGTACAACACCATCACCTCGCCGGCCTTCCTGCAGGCCGCCAACTCTCCAGGCGTGATGAACATGCGCATCATGACCCTTTGATCAGACGGCACACTCCTCAACAGAAACAATTCGCATTATCATGCATCAACAACTTACCCGTTGTAGGGGCGGCAATGAACGAAACACAGGAGCATTTGCTCGGTTGGAGTTGAAGCGCGTGCGATTCGAATGCTTTGGGGTGTAGGCAGTGGCAGATGTCGACAAGTCCTGGGGGTGTAGCTCACATGGTAGAGCGCTCCGTTCGCATCGGAGAGGCAGCGGGATCGATACCCGTCACCTCCAGACATTCCTTTTTCGTGTGGCAAGCTGATGCTTCACATGCCACTGGGATCAGTGATGGCTCCACCAAGGCAAGGCTTGGGACAATATGCTGCAAATCTGAGTTGGGTGGAGGGGAGCCAGAAAGCCAACTGAAGGGCTGGAGGCAGGTACCTTCCACATTGGCAGATAATTGAGGAGTCCAGAGCATCATCAGGGTTATGCTGGACAAGACAGAGTGCAGAAATAACCTGAGCTCTTTTGACATGAGAGGTCCTGTCATTTACAAAAGTGCATGCAAAGACAATTGTATCTAAGAAGAGAAAACCTAAAAGAGAGGGGCACTGTTGAATCCATGTGGTGAAGTAATGTACACAATGACCTCTATGTCCCCCAGTCACCTGCCTGCACCAAAAGAAAAGTGTGCACATACTGATTTCCATCTCACCTAGGCAACACAAACCCTTGATTGCTTCCACTCAGCCTCTCTCCAGCTCCTTGGTGCACAGCAGGATGTGGTTACCCCTGCTGCAGTGAGGAAGTTCTTATCTTGGCCCCAGTAAACTAATGCCAAAGTGCTGAAATTTCCAACCAACTGAGGAATGTGAGCCATGCAGGCAGGGCATACAGATACAGGATACTGCAGGCGGGGTGTCATTCTTAGCTCCTGTTTCACCCTGCTCAAGAAAATACTTTTTTATTATTTATGAAAGGCCAGGAACCAGCACAAGCAGAGAGTCATAGTCCTCATCAGTGCTCCACTCCCTTGAGTCATCACCACTGTCACTGCTGAAGCTCTCACCATCACTGTCACTGCAGTCATCAGCATCCAAGTCAATCTCAAGGCCAGCATGTGTCCAGCGCCACTGCAACAGGCCATTGGCATAGAGTGGGGCAGTCACCAGACTGTGTTGAACAAGGTGGTAGATACACCAGAGGGCAACTGTTTGTAGCTCTGGAGAGCCATGAACAGTGCCATGTACATGGTCATGCCAACAGACAAGGTGTGATGGGGGGCAGACCTCACATCAAACCCTGTGTGCACACCACACAAAGGAGAAGAAAGAGAAGATGTGCACCTGAGCAGTGATGGGGACAAGCTCCTGCAGTACCTCATGAAGGTCATAGATGAGCACATGGATCATTGTAGAGGTGAGCAACTTGGTGATGTTGAATTTCTGGCCCAAGGTTGAAAGCTTGGGCATCTCACACAACCAGTTGAGGAGCAGCAGAAGCTGCAAGTCACTGGTGAGGGCTTCAGTATCTTGGAGCCCCTTTGTGAGGAGGGTGTCATGGATGGTGAAGAAGAAGGTTGTGTTGATGCCAGTCATTTCTTCAAGGTGCCCACAAAAGTTGGTGAGGGTTGGGTGGAGATGAGAGCACATCCACTTGCACTGTCCATTGTGCCATCCAAGGAGGGAGAGGGGGCTCTCAACGCTGAATGCTGTTGGCATAACATAGAATGGCACACCACTCAACATGTGAGAGGATGAGGAGCAGGAGGAATGCCAAAAGCTGCTGATTAAAGATGTGTTGGTGGAGGCATGTAGAATAAATAAAAAGACAAATGATAGTGACCTTGATTGGGAGAAGAAGTGGCGATGGTGTGGTGGATGATGGCATGGTTGTGAAAAAACAAGAAAAAAAAATAATCTCAATCAAGGCCCAACTTCAACCCCAACAACCAAATCTGCTCCCGCTGGTCACAACGAAGCCAAAGACACCCAAACTGAAACCAGCTACGACCAGAATAGAACCCCCGACCAAGCCCATCGGTCCCGGTGCGGAGCATGTGCTGGTTTGGCAGCCTTGGGTGGCAGTGATATTCTTGTGAACAGGCTCACAGCTCTCTATCTCTCTTCTTCTATCAACAGGAGTGACATCCAAACCCACAATCTACCCCTCTTCCCCCTGCATTCTTAGCCATGTCACCAGCAAGCACCAATCAAGCCTCTCCATGTTCATAGTTTCACCATCCACTGCTTCCCATGAACACCAACACCCCCACCCCCACTCCTGAGCCACTAAGTCTCCCTGCTGCCCCTGCTGCTGGCCCATTTAGTGCTGTTCCAGAGGCTGCAACCCCAGCCAAGCACAAACATACACCAACAAAGAGAGCCCACACAGGTACAATCAGCCCATTTGGTCAGTCCATCTTTCTTAATTCACTAACATTGCTTTCAATTCAGAGTCTACAACCAAGGAGAAGGAGATTGAAGGCACAGACAATGAAGATGAGAGCTTGGAGGCTGAGGTTGAGTGCACTGATCTTCAGCAGGCCTTGATGCCAGTACATCCACCTTGCCCTCTTTTCTTGCCCCCCCCCCTGCCATCAGGCTGATCTATTTGCAACAGGGGAAGACCCGCATCAACTGGCCACAAGAGACATCAAGAACTTTGCTCTCCTTGAGACACTTGTCAAGAACCCTACTATGCGCTGTGATGCTGTGGCACCTCATCCGCACCCATCACCATGCTGTTGTTGATGCTGACAACACGATGTTTGATGCCCACTATGCCAACCTGGTCTGCTCTAACTCATGGATCAACCGTGAGTTCAAAGAAAGTACGTTCTTCTGTCCTGTTCCCTTCTTGTTCTGCATTTTGTTCACTCGCTCTCACACTCACAGAGCCATTCAAGCCTGGGCGTAAAAAGCTCACCAACAAGGAGCTTGAGAGTCAACGCCAAGTGCATGCCAACACCCAAAGGGAGCTCAAGGCCCTTGTTGAGCGTGGGCGCATGGCTATCACCACCCTGCGCGAACGTGAACTTCTGGCACGCACCTCACGCCAGATTGCGGCAGAAGAGGAGCGCGCAGCAGCAAACAAGGCTGCTGACGAGCAGAAGCATGCCCAGCAGGCGCGTGAGCAGAAGCGCCTCCAAATGGTACTGGAGCACAGACTCTTTACTTCTATTTCAAGGGACAAGAACCAACTATCTCACTCCCACGACCCACCACAGGCTGACGAGGTCAGTCGTACCGCTCCAAAATGATCAAGCTGGTTGACTTCTTAGTGAATTCCTTCCAGGAGAGCCTTGAGGCAGAGCGCGCCCTCAACCACCAGATCACAGGCCTCGTCGGCCTGTGCACGCAGCTTGTCCAGGAGCACGCCCAGCCGATGGGCGTTGTGCCTCCTGAGGACGTTGGCTGAGCCGCCGAAAAAAATAAATTCTATTTCCCGCCATTTTCTTGAGCAGGGCGAAACAGGAGCGAAGGACACCCCAAAAGACGGAGTGGCATGTGAAGCATCAGCTTGCCACACGAAAAAGGAATGTCTGGAGGTGACGGGTATCGATCCCGCTGCCTCTCCGATGCGAACGGAGCGCTCTACCATGTGAGCTACACCCCCAGGACTTGTCGACATCTGCCACTGCCTACACGCCACAAAGCATTCGAATCTCACGCGCTTCAACTCCAACCGAGCAAATGCTCCTGCATTCCCTCCCCTTCCCCCCCGACCATGCATCAAGTACTGTTTTTGAAGATATGAGGAGCTGCGACGAACGATCTATCTCATGCACCGCGCTCCTTTGATCTGGGTGCGGAAGTGGGGCGCCACGATGGGGTGCAGCCGACCGTAGTACAGAGCCCAGGGCTCGATGGACGAGCCGTCGGCAAAGTCGCACGAGTTGGAGAGGCCGGCAGACTCCTCCACGGGAAGCACCGACCAGCCGGTAGTCACGCACATTTCTGCACCAATATAACGTGGAGTCGGCATCTTCTACAAGAAGAGCTGTAAAACGAACACACAGCTGGGGAGTACCTATCTCTGGCACGTAGAGGGAGCCCAAAGTAGAGGCCTTGCTCTCAACACAGTACTGGGCTGCAGGATTGCCCCACCTGATTGGCACCACTCGTAAGAAGCAATGTGTGGGCGAGTTGTACGAAAGGGTATGTTGTACTGTTTGCGGTCCCACTTGAAGTTGGGGATCGGGTGGAAGTAGGCCATCTGGGCGAGGGTGAGGAAGGGCGAGGCGAGGGTCTCTACCTCGGTCAGCGTGTAGGTGCCCATGTTGCAGTAGGCCTTCTTATTACCGAACGCAATCACGTCAGGGCCGTTAATGTAGGAGTACTGGCTGTAGGAGATCTTGCCGCCCTGCTTCAAGCACCACCCGATAGCCTCCTCACTGGCCTTGAAGTCGGCCGCCTTGTACGCGACAAGCGCTGTACAAAAAAGGTCAAACAGAATCAATGAGATTTAGGCTCTCTGTATTTTCCTTTTATGGTCATAGGATTCGTAATCGTTTCCTTTTATAGTCATAAGATTAAAAACGTAACTTTTGGTGAAGCAAGAAGAAAAATCAATAACTGAGGTTGGGGGAGGGGGCGTACTGTGGTTGTTGGTGGTCTTGCGCACAGGGACTCGGGCGATGAGGGTGGGGTCGTACGAGGGATCGGCCGCCATCATCTCGGCTTGGTCACTGAGATCTGCGGAGTCCAGGCTGGCGGACACCAGTGCGGCGCAGCTCAACAACACAAGAACTAGCCCCAAAAGGCCACTGGTAAGCTTCGTCATCTTTCGAGCTTCGAATCGAAGGACCACGCTGGCGTGTTGGTAGGGTGAGCCGCAAGAACTCTCCTACACGAGAAAGCTGGAAAGGTATTTTTTTCAAATTAACATATGAATAATGGTTGGCTGTGGTATGAATGGCACATTTCATTGACAGTGTAGAGTAAATATATATCTCGTTGGTGACATCCCAGACCTCCGTTGTTCGAACTCTCCTCTGAGGTTCGCAGCGTTGGTCGTGTTGTGTGTTCTGCTCGATTCGAGGCCTCAGCGCTCACACGCACGGCTGGCCAGCGAACTGCGTGCGGAAGTGGGGCGTAATGCGCTTGGCAGGCGACTTGGCCTGGCCGTGGAACAGAGCCCACGCGTCGATCGACGAGCCGTCGGCGAACTCGCACGAGTTGGAGAGACCGAGCGAGGTCTCGGCCGGCAGGGTCGACCAGCCCGTGCCCACGCACGTGCTCGCCGAGTCCACGAACATCACGCTCACCGTGGCCCCGTTGCTCTCCACGCAGTACTGGCTCGCCGGATTGCCCCATCTGGTTGGTCGTTGGTTGCATGTCAGCAACATATTAATATATATACATAACAATATATATACAATTATGCAATATTAAATATATAGGGGTTGGGGCGCGTACTGGGTGTGGTTCCAGGTGAAGTCGGCGAGCGGGTTGACGTAGGCCATCTGGGCGAGGGTGAGGAAGGGCGAGGCGAGGGTCTCGACCTCGGTCAGCGTGTAGGTGCCCATGTTGCAGTAGGCCCGCTTGCGCCCGAAGGCCATCACGCTCGGGCCGCTCACGTAGGAGTACTGCTGGTAGGACACCACGCCGCCCTGCTGCCTGCACCACTCCAGCGCATCGTCGGTGCACCCAAAGTCCGTCGCCTTGTACGCCTGCGTCTCGTCGGTTGCTGTTGGAAAAGATAGAATATAAATATATAAGAATTTCTTAATATGAATACGTGGTAAAATAGAGTTTTAAAAGTACGTACTCTGATTGGAGGAGGCCTGGCGCTTGGCCAAGGGGACGACGACGCTGAGGGTGAGGTCGTAGGCGGGGTCGAACCAGTGGGCTTGGTCGTAGGATTGTCGGCGCGGGTTCAGGTTGGCCTCCGTGTGGGCCAGGAAGAGGGCGCAGCTCAGCGCCAAGACTGCCCACAGCGTTCCACAGTTCATCTTCATCAGCATCGTCTTGGTGGTGGTTCTCTTCAGCGGTTGTTCTTGTTGTGGTCGGTGAGAAGGTGGTGGTCGTAAGTAGTAAGTGTGGTTGGTTGACACTGTCGAAGGATGGTGGAAGAAGATGATGGCCCTTTGGTCGTGACTATTTGTAGGGCGTCGAGGCGGAGTGCCGACAGCCAAGGCATGTTGCTGTTGGTCTCCTTGCGGGGTAAGCCGATGCACACCACAAGCGCGCTCCGTGGAAAACCGAGCGGAAGCCTTCCACAGTCTTCAACAACACCGCGCGGTGGCGGAGGTTGGCCGTGTGACGTGATTGACTCGAGCCAGAGAGGCCAGAGAGCGCTCGAGGACGAAGAAAAGAAGTGATGGCCTCGTGACAAGATGTCTGATGGCTCGGAGTGTGATGAGCGCTCATCATCGTCACCATCACCAAGAGCCGTACGCACGGGGACGTGCGCGAGTTTCAGGCCGAAACGCGTTCCGGAGCCGTCGGACAGACAACCACAACCGCGACGACTTCGGCCAATCGCCGAGCTTTCCTTCCTGGTGTTGCCCCAGGCTGGGTACCCACCCAATCCAGAAAGAGAGAGCAGTGGTGCTGGTGGCGGTGGTGATGGGGGGGGGGGCACACGCAGAGAGAAAGCGTATCTTGTTGTCTCGGGCCAAGACCCCATTTGCTCTCTCTCTCTCTCTCTCCTGTCTCGGGGCGCTGCGCTTTCGTTCTCTTTTCCCTCAGGTTGCGCTGCGTTACTCGTCGATGAGAGCCCCTTGTCGTCGGTGACGTCGTCGTGGTGGTTGTCGCTCGCCGTGGCGGTGGTGGTGATGGGGAGTGGTCCACTTACTTGTTGACGGTCTTCCACAGGTCGGCGAAGGGATCGCCCTGCGCTGGGCCGCCGCCCCACCGCTGGCAGGCCCGGAGGAGGTGCCGGGACCCGAGCGGCCGCTCATGGGCGTGAGAGGCGGCGTGGAGAGGGGCGTGAGCGGTGGCGTCGACATGGGGGTCAGGCCTCCGCTGTTGCCGAGCGGCGCGCGCTGGGCCATCAGCGGCGACGCGCCGGCGCCACTGCCGTAGGGTGCACCCTGCTGCGGCGCGCCCAGAGGCGACGGCGCGTGGGCGTAGAGGGGCGACGCCATCGGCGAACCGACGCCGGCCGGCGTCGGCTGGGCCATCACGTAGACCATGCCCATGGGCATGCCCATCGGCACCAAGTTGTAGGTGGTGCCGACGCCGCCGGACATCGGTGGGGCCGAGGGTGCAAAGGCCGCGTGGCCGCCGTACATGGGCGACGCCACGGGCGACGCGGCGGGTTCGGGGGTGGCGTAGAGGCTGAGGATGTCCTTCTTCTCCGGGTGCACCCGGGGCGCAGTGGTGGGCGACGCCACGGGCGAGCCCATCATCAGGGAATCGAGGGCTCCGAATGCGGCGGCGCCGGCGGCCGGCGCGGGAGTGGTCGAGGAGGCGGAGGCGGAGGAGAAGGTGGAGAAGTCGCCCCACGCGTCGTCGCCGTTGTTGTTGTTCGACGACGACGAGGCGAAGAAGTCGGTCGAAGCGGCCGCGGAGGAGGAGGACGATGATGAAGAAGAGGTCGGCGAGGGCTGGCGCTGCGCGATCACATCGAACGTCGCGAAGAAGTCGGTGGCGTCGCCGTTCCCGTTGGCCGCGTTTCCGTTCCCGTTGCCGATGGTGGCCTTCTGCGCAAAGTCGGAGATGAGGCTGTCGGCCCCGGCGGTGGGCGAGGGCGAACGAGCGCGGGCCTCCTTCGCACTGCTCCGTTGGCCCGCCGCCGGTGACGACGACGAGGCGCCGTCATCGTTTTTCTGCCAATCGAGCATCGCGAAGAGGTCCTTGCCGCCAGCGCCGCCGTCTCCGCCGCCGCCATTCTCTGTCGCGCGCGTCGAGGGGCTCTTCTCTGCTCACAACAACAAGCGTCGATCAGCGCACCGCTCGGGCGGCGGTGGATGGTGGTCAGAGGGAGGGGAGGGGAGTACGCTTGGCTGGCGCGGACTTGCGCTGGATGCGGGGCACGGAGGTGCCGAGCTTCTCCAGGACGTCGCAGATGTCTGGCCGCTTCTCGGGGTCAGCCGTCAACAGAAACTCTGGAGTGTCGCCAGTGCCAGCGTTAGTAAAAAGGCCAGAAACACGCAACACGCAACACGGGCGGGAGACGGTAGGCGGGCGCGCACTGAGCAGGTCGTGCATCTTGGGGGTGTAGGGAGGGAAGTCGGGTGCGCGGTAGCGCGCGTTAAGGATGCCTAGCTTGCCGTCGAACGGGTCGGCATAGTACATCATCTTGTACAACATACAACCGAGCGCCTGCACACAAGCCGAGTGTTCACCACCAACATGAGTCGTGTGTTGTGCGTGTGTGTGTGTGTGTGTGTGTGTGCGCGTGTGTGTTTTATGCGTGCGGAATTACCCAAACGTCGACTTTCTCGTTGATGAGCTGCTTGCGGTAGAGGTCCACCATCTCGGGGGCGCGGTAGAGCAAGGTCGTGTTCCTGTTGATGTCGTTCTCCGCGATGTTCCTGATGTGCGGCTACACACGACACGACACACACGACACACACGACACAGTGATTAGGAACCATCCATCACAGAGCAGGAGAGAGATAGGCTGCCTCTGCTGTTGCTGTCAAGGTACCTTGTCGGTGTCATAGGTGACCACGGTCGCACTGCCAAAGTCAATCAGGTAGAGAGCGCCATTCTTGCCCACCAGCACATTCTCAACCTGAATACACAGCGCACCATTGCCACACCGCGTCAGAAGAAGAAGAAGAAGAACGTGGGCGTCTTCATTGTTACGGGTGGTTTTACCTTCAAGTCACGGTGGGCGATGGGCGGTTCGAGGCTGTGCATGTGGTACACGGCCTTGCAGACCGTTTCGAAGATGAACAGAATCTCGGTCTCCGTCATTCGATTCCGTTCCCTCTGTCGTTGCAGTGTGAGTACGTCACGCGCGTGCGGCGGCGTGTGCGCGTGCGGCGGTGCGTGTTGGGAGTGCGTGTTGGGTGAGAGGTCTGTGGGGCGCGGGGGAGTGGGCACCTGGTACATAAGGTTGAGTACGCTACCGCGCGGGCAGAACTCGGTGAGGACCACCACCTCCTGTCGGTTGGGCTTCCTGAACGACGCGGCCCCGAGGAAGGTCACGATGCCCTCCTTCCCGCTCAGCGTTTTCTGTGTTGCGCGAAAAGATGATGATGAGGTGAGATGATGATGGGTGAAGTGGTGGCCTTGCAAGGCCAACCAAGAAGAGCTGCAGGAGAGGCAGGGGAGGGAAACCAGGAAGTTGATCTCCCGCTTGATGATCTCCATGTGTTCATCGTCCTGCACGAGGATGCGCTTCAGGGCTACAGGTCGGCCGGTCTCGACCTGCTCCGCAAGAAACACAAATGCGAATCCACCTGCGTAGACGCTCCAAAGATGGGGAGCGATTGAAATTAAAATCACGGGCAGTGCACTGGCAAGTGCTACACGGTTCAAACAACTGATACACTGCAGCGAATGGAAAGGAGAGGAGACCTTCAGCGAGCTTCTTGACAACGCGGTAGCGTGAGCCGTTAATGGAGTAAACATCGCCCACCCCCTCTTCCCCTGCCACGCCCCCCTCGTTCCATTTCTTCTCCATTTTCTCAATCTTGCCGGCAATCGAATCAAGGCCTTTGTCCAATTGCTTGAAGAACGAATCCATCTTCGGCCTGTGTAATGTTGAACACGAGATTATCAGAGGGAAAACATTACAAAAGTGAAATAAAACAGTGTTTTTTAGTTGTTTCAATAAATGTTCAAAAATGCGCGAGTGCCGCACAACCAACATCCCACGCACTGCAGCGGTGAGTGCATTGAGCCTGCGGTGAATGTGGTCATCTCTCTTCTTCTTTCTTCTTTCTTATGAAGCAAGAAGATGACGAAGACCCAATTCAAGAATGAACGAATGAGCTCTCTTTGGTGGGGTACTTGGACCAGTTTGTGACTCGGCCACGGTGGGTCAGTCCCAGAGCTTGATGGTACCGTCCCAGCTGCAGGTGACAACGCGCGAGGGCTCCACAGGGTGCCACTCGCAGCCGATGAGCACCTTCTCGTGGCACTCAAGCTTCTTGAGGATGCGGTGGGTCTTCCAGTCCCAGATCCACAGGTTGCCCGTGCCGTCGCCCGAGATCACGTAGTGCCCGTCCGGCGAGAACCCGAGCTGCACACACGACGCAGAGACTAATGAGCAAACACACACATGAACAGTGTGTGCTTTGAGTGTGTGTCGTGTGTGTCGTGTGTTGTGTGTGTGTGTCGTGTGTCGTGTGTGATTAGGTTACCTGGCAAGCGTAGCCGGCGACGAGATGGCCCAGGAAGCGCTTCTTCTTGTTCATCCTGAATTTGTCCTTGGTGCTGACGACGAGGATCTGGTTGTCCATCGACTGGGTAATGATCCACGGGTCCGTCGGGTGCGGCGCCATGACCGGCATCGAATGGAGGTAGGGCTCCCGGATCTCCTTGATCTCCACCGGAATGCCCCATTCCCACACCTGTGTGTTGTGTCGACAAAGCCCCGCGTCAGTGCGCGTAATTTGAATTCTCTGCGTATGTCGCAACGCACGAGCGCGCAGGCGGTGAGCGGGGCGGGGGGAGGCGTTGCGTACTCTGAGCGACTTGTCGTCGGACGAGGAAATGAATCGTCGGCCCTCGTCGATGAACTCGAGCGCGTTGACGGGTCCCAAATGGTAGTTGTACTCCTGCACCGTGCTGCCCGTACGAATGTCCCACTATTGCGGCGTGCGCGCGTGGTTAGTGTGGGTGGCCGACGGCAGAACAAGAACAAGGAAGAGAGAGACGGGTACCTGGTGCACTCGGTTGTCGGAACAGCCGGCGATGAATTGGTTCTGGTCGCGCGCGTGGGGCGGGAACTTGACGCAGTAGGCGAGCTTGCGGTTGGAGAACCGCTGGATGCAGGCGCCGGTCTCGGTGTCCCACAGCTTGATCGTGCGGTCGAACGACGTGCTGAGGAACTGGCTGCCGTCGTGGTTGAACTGGATGTCCCGCACGCCCTTGGTGTGGCCATAGAAGGTGCGCAGGCAGCGCTTGTCGTTGTAGAGATCGAACAGCTTCACCGTGCCGTCGAGATTGGCCGAGATCACGAGATGGCCGTACTTGGGGAACAACCGAATCGCATTCACGCCTGTACCAGGTGGTGAGTAAAGGTAAGAAGACGAAGCAGAAGACGAAGAGAAGCGCTGGCAGCAAAGTGTGAGAGTTGTTTTTCGAACCGTTGGTGGGGTCCTGGTTCTGGGGCTTACTGATGACGGTCTCGACCGAGAAGTTGCCGAGCTTGTTGCCCTTCTGCTGTTGCTGCATTCGCATCTTCTTTCGCCTCAAATCCTTGGCCTAATGATGTGAACGAAGAAATAAATCATCACGTGCTTAATTGATAAGAATAAATAAATTATAACAAATAAGCCTCCAAACGAAATGAGCAAAAGAAGGGAAAAAAGAGTGTCGCGATCGTGACGCTGGATACCTTCTTTCTCTTGCTCTTGTTCTTCTTGCCGGCGCCGAGTCGCCACTGATGAAGCATCTTCTTTGGCATGAAGCACTCGTGTGGCGCCGCTCGCAGGTTGGAAGGAGGCGAGATGTAGGTGCGGCCCTGGTAATCGTACATGGTGTCGCCGTGGAATTCAGAGTACTCCTTCGCCTCGCCCTCCCTCCTCTTCTTCTTTTTCAACTTTTTGCCCTCGCCGTCCCCTTCGCCTTCCTCTTCGCTGCTGCTGTCATCTTCATCGCTGCTCTCTTCCTCTTCTTCTTCATCTTCCTCTTCCGCTTTCTTCTTTCCCTTCTTATCATCGACTTTCGATTTCTTCACCTCATCATTGGCCTCTTGCACCTCTGCATCTCCGGCATCCTCGGCCTTCCTCTTCTTATCAGTCGAAGATGGCTCAGCAGATCCAGAAATCGCGCATCATCTCCCGCCGCGGGGGCGGTGGCGTAGACCTGCGGCTGCTGGCCGTAGCCGTAGTAAGCGTAGTACTGCTGGTAGTACTGTTGTTGCTGCTGCAGCTGCTGCTCGGCAGTGAGAATGGAAGGGGGCGTGTAGAAGGTGGTTGCAGTAGCGGCCGCGCTGTAATCGACCGGGTATGACTGCTCCTGCGCCTTCTTCTCCTCGCCCACCTTATCCTTCTCCTGGTAGTAATTTACCAGCGAGCGCAGATCCATCTTCTTAGATTGCAATCGACAACTCTTTGGAACGGCCGGCCGACTCGTCACAAAAAGAAAAAAGCAGAAATATTCACAAGAGAAATAAAGGGAAACGTTTTTCTTTACATTTCTTTCTAGGGCAACGAAACGGCCTCCTCGTCTTCATCATCTTCCTCTTCCTCGCTATCATCCTCATCTTCGAGCATCACATCGTAGGACTCACAGGCCACGAGCTTTCTCCGACGCTTTTCCTCGCGCTCGCGGGCCGTGCGCACCTGCTGCTGGACGTCCTCGGGCAGCAGGGCCAAGTGCTGCGGGTCGTACTGCTCGTAGTTGGCCACCAGGTGGGCCACGCAGAGCGCGCGCAGCTGGCGAGGACCCAGGATGAGCGCGTACAGGTCCTTGCAGTGCTTTTCCTCATTCCTACCGATATATATATTTACACACACACATAGTGATAAATCCAATGCATAATGAGTTCTCGATCAGCTGACTGTGCCACTTGGATGCGGTCGTGATGTTGGCGTACCTTCCGCCGTACAAGTACACTCTGTCGTCCAAGAGTGCGAGGGCGTGGAATCGTCGCTTGTCGGGCTGCTCGCCTGCGGGCGGTGGGGAGCCGCACGTGTTGAGTGAACGACCGAGCCGAGAGGCTCGTGCGAGCGGGGAGATGATGGCACGTACCCAAGGGGCGGGTTTTGCGCCAGGCCAGAGTGTTCAGATCCAGGAGACGCACGTCGTTACGGTACCTGCCGTGGCCCCAACCACCGAAGATCATCTGCGGGCCATTCTTGGGTGAGAAGCGCAGAGACGCGTGATTCGCGACACAGGGCACACGACCGCACACGACACAGTAACTCGAAGGCGCACATTACCATGAGCGAGGGGTTGAGCAGGCACGCTGCGTGGCCGGATCTCCCCTTTGGTAGATCGCCCGTGGGTGAGTGCTCCCTCCACTCCCCGGTATCTGCACGCGCACGCTGGATGAGCACATACTCCGCATTCTGTCGTTGCCAGCGGAGCGAGGGGGGGGGAATACCCAGATTGAGTTCGAAGACGTCGCTGAACCGCGGGTAGCCACCACTCCAGCCGCCAAAGATGAGCATGTTGTGGTGCCGCACCAGGACCGCCGAGTGTCCGGAGCGTGGGGAAGGTAGTGGGCCAGTCGTCTCCACCTCTCGCCATTGCATTCTCACTGTATGCAGTGTGTGTGTGTGTGTGTGTGTCGTGTATGTGTGTGTGTGTGTGTGTGTGTGTTCATTGATCAGGGGCAGGCAACTGATCGGGCAAGTGAGCTTCTGTGTACCGACATCGAGGATCCAGCAATCGTTGAAGAATTTGTGTTCGTCTCTGCCGCCAAACACCACCAGGCGTTGGCCATCGCCGAGTAGAATGGCCGTATGCGTGTTTCGTGGCGCCGGCGTCGGTTGAGGCAGCTCCACCTTCGTCCACGTCAGCGTGCCTGCACCGACGGCCAACGTCATGTGACTGCGCGGTTGCCACTCAAGAAGAACATACCCAAATCGAGGACGTGAACGTCGTTGAATCGCTGCTCGTCACCTGCCAGACAGAAGCATACGTAAGTGCTCTGCACCCACTCCACGCTGACATAAAGAACCGCATCACGCCACCCTTGTAGCCAGCGAACATAAGGAGCTGCTTGCCGCCGTTGATCAGGGTGATCTGCGCATGTTACGTCAAGGTCAGTGTGCACGTGCTTGCAAGGGGGAGGTGTGGCGAGGCGAGGCGAGCTACCGAGTGTGTAGAACGAGCGCAGGGGATGTCGCCAGACGCCGGCACGACGGTCCACTCCTCGCTTTCTGCGTGGCACCAACTGGTGAGTCACCGTAGAGGGGGGGCACCTTCCTGCTACTACATGACCCAGCAGCGCACTACGCACCAGCGTCAAAGAAGCACAAGTCGTTGTATCTCTGCTCCGTGCCGCTCCATCCACCTGTGTAGGGCGCCCACCAACTTGAGCCCAGCATGCTCGAAGATGGTTGAAGGGCACGTTTGCGTACCGAACAAAAGGAGGCGGTGACCAGGCAGTGGGGTGAGCGTGTGGCACAGGCGGTGGCCAGGCTTATCATTGCCCCCCGTTGCCCTAATCTTGTGCCAATACATCTTGCCTTGTGCTGCTACGTTGAGTGGCTTTTGGGTTGAGTTTTAAAAACGATAAAATATATATTTGCAAAAACGATATAATAATATCACAACATTATCGTGTGCTTTTTTCGAGCCTGTGCTTACGGCGATGCAACCGAGCGAGAAGCAGGGAAGCCAGCATGCCCCCGACCCCGATCGCCCAGAGTACGAGGTCCTCGCTGCCGAAGCCCCACTCCTCGATCCACAGCTCCGCCGGCCCGGACGACATGGTGCCGTCATCGTAGTACTCGCGGTCCCACCGCCGCCGCGTGCACGACCCATCCAGCTGCACCACCTTCTTGCGGCCTGCATGGGCCTCCACCCGTTGCTGTGCAACAGCTCGACAGAGCTTGCAACCGATGTCCTGGCCCAGGTCGGCCGCGAGGAATGCCGGGTGGTAGTGGGACGTGGGCGGTTTGTAGGTGAAGTAGCTCTCGTACAGGGCTTGGTCCTTCTCGAGCAGCCGCAGGTGGTCGGCCAGGGCCTTGGGTCCGGCGAAGTCGGACACCCGAATGACTGAGTGGTTGTTGGGCACGAACGGGGAGTAGTCGTCGGGTCCGTCGACGATCGGCAGCCCGCCCGAGATGAACACATGCACCAGCTTCTCCGTCACGTAGTCCGCGCAGTTGGCGTTCTCCCAGGCGAAGGCAAACTTGTACTGGCTCATGAGCTTCAATATCTGTTCTCCACCATATTAGAGTAAACAATACACACAAGTGATGTTAAGCGCATTTCATACCTCTTCTTCGCTCACCTTGCCCTCCTTGCCGGGCATGGTGCGCAGGCAGTCGCCGTAGGAGTGCACCGGGTAATGCTTCATGAGCGCTGCGATGTACTTCTCGCGCTTGTTGAACGAGGCGCAGTTGTTGGCGATCCACACCACCGCGTTCCGCCGCTCCTGCCAGCTGGGCGACATCGGTCGGTCTGTGTGCTGCTTGAGCGAGGGGTGGATGTAGGAGACCACCACCTCGGACCACAGCTGGTACCCCATGCGCAGGTCGAACAGGGCCAATCTCTCGGGGTCGAGTGACACCTTGTCGCACTGGCGCTCCCACCACTTGAACCGGTAGTACCACCCGCACGAGCGGTGGTCGTACAGGGGGTTCTCCTCTGACCAGTAGGCCCACAGCTGCGAGGCGAACGGCCTGGCCGCAGGCATCTTGGCCAGTTCGAGGTCGCGCGAGTGGAACACAACCACGTGCGCCTGGTCGAGCGCTCGCTTGTTGCTCGTGAACGCGCATTCCAGGGGTGCTGTTGCAGCAGCAGCATCAGCATCATCAATTTGTGTGTGAGCCACTGTGTTGGCCGTGGGTAGTACCTGCGCCATGGCCTGGGCATGTTTTGAGCTTATACCCTGTGAGTGGAGCGACCACATTTTCAAACCACGTCGTGTAGTAGAGGATGGTGGTTGCGTTGCTGCCCTGAGGTGGAGGCTCGAAGTCCTCAACTAGCCCCTGGTCCCCCAAGCCGGTCCATGAGCTCAGAAAGCCGCTGCCGACCACCAGCACGAACAAAACAGGCCCCAACCCCAGGCCGGCGAATAGAATGTCGAGAGTGTGGCACTGGCAGGAGTGTCGCGTCACCATCCCCTAGGCTTACTGCCTTCTCCTTGCGGAACAGCCGACAGAAAGAAGAAAGGGGGTTTTCCCTTTTTTGGCCCATTGAGGAAAATGAATAGGAAATGATTTGCTCGGCGGTCGCACACTTGCGGCAAGGCCGCCCTTCGCCAACTCACTCGTACTGTTAATCTATAGATCTTCCACCCCAATTTGAGATACCCACACTCACAAACTCTCCACGAATTTGCGTTCAGATGAATCTTCAACTCGCGATTTTGTGCCCCTCCATCTACCAGCAAGCTCCAATCAATTGCGGAAATCACGCGCGAATATGCTGGACTTGTGGTCTGGGGGCAGCCATGACACGGAGAGCCACTCTTCTTGCGCTTGCGCACTACCCCGGGAGTTCCTTGCATCGCCAGCACCACGCTCCAAGCTCCAAGGAGGTCGGCCACCCTCGAAAAGTAAAGGTACCTTCACTCAAACCTCAATGTGGAGGAACGCTTCGGACCACCAGCTCGAGCAGGAACTGCCGTGCGCTGGCGCCACGAAAGCCGAACGATAGTAGAGGATAGAGCGGCACCGCGCCACCTCGACTTGTTGCGGCCGCCATTTGGGGAGAACAACAGAACGTTCTCTTCTGGCGAAACTATCACGAAATTTTGTGTTGACTTGATTGTCGACACAGTCTCGGCCACAACCATTCGCCAGTTTGATGGATACGGTGAGCTGCGATGGTCAGGGATGATGGACGGAGCAACCCTCCACGGCCTCAAGAAGGAGAGGGGGCTTGGGAAGTACCCAGTCATCGCGTACGAGGTGAATTTCTTCAGGTTTTGCGTTGGGATGTGCGAGGTGGGAGTGGGCTGTTTCCCCCTTGGCTATCTTGGCCACCACTCGCACGGCGGCAGCCAACATATATAGAGGTGGTGCCTCTTGGGTGGTTTCTCTCTACTCACCACCAGCACCACCGCCGGCACCCACATACAGCTCCCACTCCAGGGCCACGCCTGTTCAAGAGAGAACAGACAGATACAACACAACGCGCACAGCTACGGCGCAACTCGCATAAGCCTGCAGACACCAACAAGCAACATCGCCCTGCCGCCTTCCTCTTCCTCTTCTTCTCGGCCAGCGACGAAGCAACCGCAACACTCGAGCTCACCCTAAGGTACCAACCCACCACCGCCACCAAATGCCAAAACGCGACCAAGGCCTTCGTCGATAGAAAGTTGTGGCGAAGAGTGGGGTGAAGAGGTGTGCTGGCCTGAGAGCCCAAACCACCACAGCAAGAGCCCAGCCCAGTCCCAAATTTTGGAATGCGAACAAGTTCGGCATGGCAGGGCCTGAAACGGCTTCAAATTCCAGTCCATATAAAGGGGCGGCCGCACAGCCCATGCGCCCCCCGAGCGAAGCGTTGGGAGGAGGCCCAGTCCCACCTGGGCCGCTTGGACATGTGGTGTTGTTGTGGTCTTCGCGATCCCCTTTTATCCAGGCCCACGCCCCTGTACTCATCATCCCTCCCAAACCCAACCCAGGAGGTAACAACAACGCCACCGCCGTCCCCGCTACTACGCGCCTTCAACCGGACCAGTCACCATCAACATGCTGACCGCGAGGAATAGCCTGCTACGTGGAGGAGGACGTTCCATACTCTCCTCCTCTGGGTTAACCGTCACCTCAAGAGCCCTGGGCTCCACCCTGTGGCGTACCTACGCCCGCAAGGTACGTCCTACTCAACATATGTGCCCTATATATGCATCATCTCTTTTATACATTGTGAACATACATACTAATATATAACAATATTATTGTGTTGTGGACAGACCGAGAGGGACTTGTCGCACGACATCAACAGGTCGCTCCAGACCGATGGCATTGAGATCTTGGCCCCCGTCAACGAGGAGCGTGCCTCCGTGCTCACCCCCGCCGCGCTCCACTTCGTGGCGTCCCTCTCCCGCCAGTTCGAGCCCACCCGCCAGGAGCTCCTCGGCTCCCGCGAGCGGGTACGCGCCCAACTCCCTTCCCTTGCCGTGCGTGCGTGTTATCGCGTGTCGTTGTGTGTGCGATTGGCGTGTGTCGTGTCGTCTTGTGTTGCGTGTGCTTACCCCAGAAAAACAGGTGCAGCAAGAGTTGAATGCGGGCAAGCTGCCCGATTTCCTGGAGGAGACGCGCCACGTGAGGGAGTCGGAATGGAAGGTGGCCCCGGTGCCCGAGGCCATCCAGGATCGACGCGTGGAGATCACCGGACCCGTCGACCGCAAGATGATCATCAACGCGCTCAACTCTGGCGCGTCTTGCTTCATGGCCGACTTCGAGGACTCCAGTACGACAACACACACACACACCACAAACACACAAACACACAAACACAACACAATTAACGCAACCAATGCACACAGACTCGCCGACCTGGACCAACAACGTCGACGGGCAGGTCAACCTGAGGGACGCCGTGAACAAGGTCATCGGCTACACCAACGAACAGGGCAAGTCCTACCAGCTCAACGAGCAGACTGCCACCCTCTTCGTCAGGTACTGCCTTACAGCCCCGACCCTGTTATGTCGTTTCTATGCACTTTTCTTTCCACATGGATTTATATGTTCTATAATTCAGATTTAATATATAATCGCTACTTACAATGACCACCACAACACAACTGTAGGCCTCGTGGCTGGCATCTGCCCGAGCGCCACATGCTGGTCGACGGCAAGCCCGTGTCGGGTTCGCTCTTCGACTTTGGCCTCTACTTCTTCCACAACGCCAAGACCCTGGCGCGCCAGCAGGAGGGTACATATCGCTACAACGTCGCAACAGAAAAGAAATTTCCTATCTGAAATAAGAACATATTACTTATGTAATACTTGTGCCTTCCATTCGCTCACACACCGCTCTGATGCAGGCCCGTTCTTCTATCTGCCCAAGCTGGAGCACTACCACGAGGCGCGCCTGTGGAACGACGTCTTCAACTTCTCGCAGGACCGCATGGGTCTTTCGCGCGGCAGCGTCAAGGCCACGGTCCTCATCGAGACCATCCTCGCCGCCTTCCAGATGGACGAGGTTCGGCACTCGCGCGTGCGTGCGTGCGCGTGCGGTGCGTGCGTGTGGTGCGTGCCAGTGTGAATGTTGACCACCTTTGCTTGCATGATCAGATCCTATACGAGCTGCGGGATCACTCGGCCGGTCTCAACTGCGGCCGGTGGGACTACATCTTCTCCTTCATCAAGAAGGTACTCCTCTCTCCTTAATTAGAGAATTATTATAGTTATTGTATCATTAGCTATCAATTATGTTATTATTTATCACTTATTTGTTTGTGTGCTGTGTGTAGTTCAGGGAACGTCCGGACTTTGTGCTGCCCGACCGGAGCGAGGTGACGATGACCCAGCCCTTCATGAAGGCCTACGTCGACCGCCTCATCCAGACCTGCCACCGCCGCGGCGCCCACGCCATGGGCGGCATGGCCGCGCAGATCCCCATCAAAAACGACCCCGTACATACCACTACTCCAGGCCCCTGCTTTTCTTCTTCTTGCACTCACCAACGCGCTTCTCGTGTGTGTCGTGTGTGTCGTGTGTGTCGTGTGCAGCAAGCGAATGAGGAAGCGATGAAGAAGGTGCGGGAGGACAAGGAGCGCGAGGTGAAGGCCGGGCATGACGGCACGTGGGTGGCCCACCCCGGCCTCGTGCCCGTGGCCAAGGAGATCTTCGACGCCCACATGAAGGCGCCCAACCAGATCAACACCGCCCGGCGCGACGAGGCCAAGGTCGCCGCGGCCGACCTCCTGCGCGTGCCGCAGGGCAACATCACCGAGAAGGGCCTGCGGCACAACGTGTCGGTCGGTCTGCAGTACCTGGAGTCGTGGCTGCGCGGGCAGGGCTGCGTGCCCATCTTCAACCTCATGGAGGACGCCGCCACCGCCGAGATCTCACGCATGCAGGTCTGGAGCTGGCTCCGCCACCAAGGTACTCACCGCACACACCGCACACGCGCACGAGCAATGTGTTGAGTTGTGTGTGCGTGTGCGCAGCGCCGGTGACGTGGAGCGACGGCAAGAAGAAGGAGCTGTCGCGCGACACGCTGTCAAAGGTGTTGGAGGAGGAGCTGGGCAAGGTGTACAAGCAGATCGGCAAGAAGGCCTACGACGAGAGCAAGTTCAAGCTAGCCTCCAAGCTCTTCATCGACATGTGCACCTCTTCCAAGCCGCCCGAGTTCCTCACTTCCTACGCATACCCATTCATCATCGACCCCAGGTTCGTGTGCGGTCGTGTGTGTGCGTATGCGTGTGTGCGGTTGGCTGACGTGTGCGTGCGTCGTGTGGACAGCCTGACGCGTCACATGGTGGCGGATGGGCAGCTGATGAACGGCCAGGAGGAGAGCAACTTCTGGCTCGAGGTCGAGGACGTCAGGCGCTGGTGGCAGGACGAGCGCTGGGCCGACACCGTCCGCCACTACTCGCCCGGTACGTTCAACGCTCAACCCAAGAGGTCTCTGACGTGTGATGACGTCATCTCACACGAACACCTCAATGTGCGCGTGTGCATGTGCGTGTGCCTCGTATCTGCCGCGTGTCGCGTGTGTCATGTGCTTGCAGAGGACGTGGTGCGTCAGCGAGGCACGCTGCAGCAGGACTACGCGTCGAACCAGACGGCCAAGAAGGCATGGAAGCTGTTCTCGCACCTGCGGGAGACCAAGGGCTACTCGCACACCTTCGGAGCGCTCGACCCGGTCCAGGTCATCTCCATGGCGCCCTACCTCTCCACCGTCTACGTCAGCGGCTGGCAGTGCTCGTCCACGGCCTCCACCTCCAACGACCCCGGTACACGCTCTCTGGAATGTAGTACATTCCTGCCATTTTTGGCTTACCCCACATTCCACATACATGTAGGCCTGATCTGGCTGATTACCCGATGGACACGGTCCCCAACAAGGTCGACCACCTCTTCCGCGCGCAGGTCTTCCACGACCGCAAGCAGAGGTAAGTCGCGGGTCTGGAATGTGGCTCGGAATGTGCTGAAATGTGGTCTGACTGTACGGAATGTGTGGGTGTGTGGTACATAGGCACGCACGATTCATGATGTCGCGCGAGGAGAGGAATGCGACGCCGCCGGTGGACTACTTCCGTCCGATTATCGCCGATGGCGACACCGGACACGGCGGCAACACCGCCATCATGAAGCTCACCAAGCTCTTCATCGGTAAAGCCCATGACTTCTCGCCATCGCCATCTCCCTCGCGTTTACTGACACACACGACACACACGACGACACACACACAACCCACGGCACTCGCAGAGCGTGGAGCGGCTGGCGTTCACTTTGAGGACCAGAAGCCCGGTACCAAGAAGTGCGGCCACCTGGCGGGCAAGGTGCTCGTGTCGACCAGGTACCCACCACCGCTTCGTTATTTCCCTTTTCTTTTCTCTTCTTCTTTTGTTTCTCACCGCAAACCGCGATGACAGGGAGCACATCGATCGGCTGGCGGCGGCGCGATTGCAGGCGGACATCATGGGCACCGACACGCTGGTGGTGAGCCGCACCGACGCCGAGGCGGCGACGCTGCTCGACTCGAACGTGGACGAGCGCGACCACCCCTACATCCTGGGTACGCCCAACGGCGCGCTCCCCGCCCTCAACGATCTCCTCACCGACGCCATCGCCAAGGGTGCCACCAAGGAGGACATCCAATCGTACGTCCTGGCCCTCGTATTGTGTCGTGATGTGCGTGTGTGCGTGTGTGTGTGTGTGTGTGTGTGCGCGCGCGCGCGTGTGTGTGTGTGTGTGTGTTGCATGCGTGTGCGGTTGTTGACTGTGACATTGTTGTTCATGTCATAATAAGGTTGACGGAGAAATGGATGGAAGAGGCGCAGCTGAGCACCTACCACGAAGCCGTGGCCAACCACCTCCAGAACGAGAAACGCGACGCTGCCGTACGTGACACACACATACACACACACACAACGGCACGTGCGCAGCGGCTAATGATCGGCGCGGGCCACACACAGTCGTATCTGAAGGAGTGGGAGAAGGCGAGGAAGCTGGGCCACTCCAAGGCCAGAGAGCTGGCGAAGGACCTGGGCGTCAGCCTCCCCTGGTGCTGGGACAAGCCCCGCACCCGCGAGGGCTACTACCGCCTCCAAAACGGCATCCCCGTCAGCATTGGTACTTTTTTTATGATTTATTTTTTATTATGTTATTTGTTATTTATTTGTTATTGTTGTTTATTGATAAATTTATTAACAAAAAAAAACAGATCGTGCGATTGCGTTCCGGCCGTACGCGGATCTGCTGTGGATGGAGACGTCGGTGCCGCACCTGAAGGACGCGAAGGAGTTCGCCGAGGGCGTGAAGCGGGTCTACCCGAACGCCATGCTGGCCTACAACCTGTCGCCCTCGTTCAACTGGTCGGCCCACGGCATGACCGACAGCGACATCGAGAACTACACCAAGCAGCTCGCCTCCTACGGCTTTGTCTGGCAGTTCATCACCGTCGCTGGTACCCTCTTCCTACCATTCTTTATGGTTGTGCGTGTGCGTGCGGTTGAGTGTCCGTGTGCGGTGGCTAAAACGTGTGTGTCGTGTGGCACAGGGTTCCACTCGGACGGTTTGATTGCAACGCAGCTGGCGCGCGACTACGCGAAGCGCGGCATGCTGGCCTACGTGGAGCGCATCCAGCGCACGGAGGAGCGCGAGCAGATTCCGACGCTCACCCACCAGAAGTGGAGCGGCACGCAGCTCATCGACGCCGCCGTGCAGACCATCACCGGCGGCGCCGCCTCCACTCTCTCCATGGGCAAGGGCGTCACCGAAGTCCAGTTCGGCAAGGAGAAGAGCGAGTAGTCGTCATCATATGTGTGTCATACATATACGACCACCACACATGCAACATAACCCACACAACATATCATCACACATATCACACTGCAACATACTCCTCATGTTAATAAATTTGTTTTTATTTACACCCCAAAGTGGAGCCTAGGGCTGGTGGTGGGGCTGATGGTGGTGGCTGTCGGGCGCGGCGGAGTCGCCCATGGGCGAGGCGTAGTCGCCGCCGCCGGTGCCCTCGCCGATCCACGAGGCGTAGTCGGGCGTGAAGACTGAGGCCGGCATGAGCTGCGTCAGCAGTTCGTTCAGGTCGGCGTCCCCCGACGGATTCGGCTTCCCCGCCACGTCCTCCTCCACCTCCTCCAGACTCACCTGTGACGACACCGAAAAAACGCATTAGCTCGCACTCGCGGTACTCGCCGCACACACCCGACCGCACACACCGCACACGCACCTGAGTCAGGGGCGGGTGGTGCTGGTTGGTGGTCGTCGATGTGTGGTGCTGGTGCTGATGGTGCGGCGGCGGCCCGGCGTCGCCCAGCATGCGAAGGCTCGGGGGGAATCGGCCGATGTGGCTGTGGCCCATCGTCGACATGCCGCCGCCGCTGGGGCTCGACGCCGAGGCCGTGGCCGTGCCCGGGCTCGACCCGTGAAACTCGTGGAGCGAGGCGCCGCCCGGGTTCCTCGGCAGGCCCGTCATCGACAGCACCGACTTCAGAACTGTTGAGTGCGATGAGCGTGTGCGGCGTGTGCGGTGGGCGTGTGTGGCGAGCGCGTGCGGCGTGATAGGAGGGCGTACAGGCGGTGGTGTTTTGGCCGAGCCACTTGGGGAGCTGGGGCACGTGCATGGAGGAGGAGCCCAGGGTGGCTCCCACCTCCTCGATCCCGTCCACCACAATGATCGTCCAATCCGGCTGCGCTCCCCCCCCCTCCATCAGCAACCCACGACACGACCCACGACACGACCACACGACACGACCAACGACACGACACGACACGACACGACACGACACGACACGACACGACACGACACGACACGACACGCGCGCAAGTGAGCAAGCAAGGGGTGTACGGTGAGGCGTCGGGTGGAGAAGGTCTGGAGGCGGGTGGACATGCGGACGATGGTGCCGTCCTTGCGGATGACGAGCGGGCTGAAGAGGATGATGGGCGAGAAGGGGAGGTCCTCCACGTGGGGCATAAGCTGGATCTTGGTCTTGTCGTCCGGCGCGTAGATGCCCAGCACCGAATGGCCCACCAGCTCGTCCTGCGGGCGACTGGTGTCAGCCACACACCGCACACGCACACGCACACGCACACGCACACGCACACGCACACGCACACGCACACGCACACGCACACGCACACGCACACGCACCACCGCACACGCACACAAGAGGCACGCGTGTACGCACCACGCGATAGAGAAGGAGGTCGGCCATGGAGCGGTTGACAAAGTAGAACACGGGCGGCACCGAATCGTCGCCAGCTGGCGGGGACCGCACCACACAAACCGGTTTGCTAGTGCGTGTTGTGTGTTGTGTGTTGTGTGTTGTGTGTGGCGATGATGACGTCAGCAACAGCATTAGCCTCAGCACGTGCGCGCAGATGATGCAATAGTGGAATGTCAAGCACGCGTACGCGATGTCGTCGACAACAAAGGGCAGGTAGGAGGACTTGAGGTCGAAGGCCAGGAGGAACGAGAAGTGGTCCATCATCTCGCGGCAGTGGGGCAGGGCCGCGATCGGAATGTACTGGTGCTGGGCCTGGCCACCACCCGACGGCCCCGGCTGGGTCGTGTAGGTCGACGTGGTGACCACGTGGCCCGGCGGCGGCGGCGTCGACAATGTCGATGACGACGACGATGACGATGTCGACACGCCGGTGGTGGTGGTGGGCGGGGGCGGCGGGGAGAAGGGCGACGGCGACGAGTAGGACGGGGGCGAGGGCGACGACGACAAGGGCGGCGGGCACGAGTAGAAGTAGGCGGTCGAGCCGGACGGCGTCGGGTGGCTCGCGAACGAGGGCGACGGCAACGGCGACGGCGACCTGGGCACGTTGCCCATCGGCGACGGACACGAAAATGGAACGCTCGCCGCCGTCGCCGTGGTCGTCGTTGATGAAGAAGACGATGATGAAGACGATGAAGATAATGGAGAGTCCGCGGCGGCGGGGGTGTTGTTGATGTTGTTGTTTTGGTTGGACTTGAGCTGGTTGACCTCTTGCCGCAGGCTTTCGACGGTGTTGGAGAGCAGGCGGACCTGGTCGAGCAGGAACGAGACGGCGCTGCTCAGGAGCTCCTTCTCGTTCTGTCGCTCCTGCTGCTGCTGCTGCTGCTGATGCGGCCCGGCCTGGGGCTGGCCCGCGGGCACCGAGCCAAACTGCGGCGGTTGCAGCTGCGGCTGCGGCTCGTGTGCTGACGACGGCGGCGGCGGCGGCTGTGGCGGTTGCGAGTGCGAGTGCGGTGGCGGCTGGTGAGGGTGCGGTTGTGATGGTGATGATCGCGATGACGCCGATGAAGAAGATGAAGAAGAGGAGGACGACGACGATGCTGAAGGTGATGGTGATGGTGATGGTGAGGGGGCAACGAACTTCTGGTCCACTGGTCCTGCACAGAAAAATGTTAGGCACGACACACGACACACACGACACACACGACGGTACCGTCGATGCGAGCTCGCTTCCGGCTGGGCTCGTTTTGTGGTTTGGCGGGTGGTGCGGCCGTCGCGGCGGTGGTCGTGGTCGTGGTGGCCGTCGCGGCCGCGGCGGCCGGTGCTGCAGCAGGGTTCTTCTTGGGGCGCCCGGCCTTCTTCCGCTCCACGTCGACGCACTGGTCCGCCTTCCCCATCTCCACGCACTTCTTACATGGCCGCCCCCTGTGCCAAAAATATTACGATTAAATAAATTATTAAAAGTACTTTTTCCAGGTTGCCACACCGTACAAGATTAATTATCAATTATAATTATATTGTCAATTAAATTTCTAGATAAAATTAAATGGGAAAAAAATCGATGGGAGGAGCCGTCCGTACTCGTCGCAGGCGGTGTGGGCCTTCTTGCAGGGCAGGCACGCTTGCTTGACCTTGGCCGCGGCGGCGGCTTTGGCTTGATCGCTGGCGATGGTGGAATTAAAATGCGCATGCGGGTCGGCCGATGCGACGGCTGCAAACAGCGAAGATAGCGGGTAGTTGCCACCGGGTGGCCCAACGCCACCAACCGCCGGATGAGGGGCGAGGCCCACGTAAGGGGGTGGACCAGGTGCAAGCGGCGGAAATGCACCCCGCCAGTTTCGTCCCTCCATCAATCAAACCAATCTTTTGACGATAGCCCCGCAATAAATAAATCAATTGATGAGTTTTCCTTCTTTTGTCGACCCTTTTTTTGTTTTTAATCTCATAATCCAAAAAAAAGACAAAATCGTCAAATTCTGATTGCTTCGAATTACATCTTGATCGAGAGATGATCACGCCACTCTTTGATGTCTCGCAAGATGACAAGTACGTGGTGCTGGAGATTCGTGTGCCCTACATGAAGGCTTCGACCTTTGACTACTACATCATCGGATCGGAATTCAAATTCTACGCCAAGCCCTACTTCCTCCGCTTGACGTTCCCCCATCCGCTGGATGAGGAGGGAGGCCACGAGAAGCTTGCCTACGACATCTCGAATGGCATCCTCACCGTCCATCTGCCCAAGGCCACCCCTGGCCAATTTTTCGAGAACCTGGGCATGATCACCCAATTGCTGGCCAAGAAGAAGCCCGTACTTTCCACCGCCCCCGTGCAAATCGTCTCCTCCGGTATGTGGACCGCCATCGAGCATCATCATCACCATCTCTTCGTGATTAAATCACTCCAATCTGCATTTCAAAATTATGATGTAATTCCCATTGTGATCCAGGCGAGGAAGGAACAGGAGAGGAGGAATTTGAGGAAGAGGAGGAAGAGGAGGAAATCGACATGGAGGTGGAGCAAACACCCGCTCCCGAGCTGGTGCGCTGTGGCCTCCCTCTCTTTTTTGCTGGTGCCTGCTGAACTGAGCGATTGAGCTCAACGGCCTGATCACCATCACCATCACCATCACCATCACCATCACCATCACCATCACCATCACCATCACCATCACCATCACCATCACCATCACCATCACCATCACCATCACCATCACCATCACCATCACCATCACCATCACCATCACCATCACCATCACCATCACCATCACCATCACCATCACCATCACCATCACCATCACCATCACCACCACCGTACAGGAGATGCTCAAGGGCGTTCGTTATGGATTCAACAACCAGTACAGCGGCCTCTTCTCGCAGATCCAGGAGGAGGTGCGCTCACACTGCAACAAGCTCAACGCACAGCTGCTCTCCGCGCCAGCGATCTCCAACAGGCCGGGACCACTGCAGTGTTGCGCGCCACTCACGCTTACTTTCGTCTGCAGACGTCAGAGATCGTGGAGCTGCCCTGTCCCGACACCACTCCCGCCAGCGAACGGCGAGAGCTGCGGATACTGACCGAGGACGACAAGTTTGACCCCGAACACTACATGTATGTTACGATCGACGGTGACACATACACGACACACACGACACACGACACACGACACACGCACACCCGGGCATGCGCTGAAACGGGTGGCGCCCTAGGGCCGATTTTGTGATGGATGAGACGATCAAGGAGCTCATCCAGTTCGAACCGCATTGGATCCACGAGAAGCGGAGATACCGGGAGCTCAAGCGGCAACACTTTGGTCAGCGGGCCGCGGCGACAGGCGAACAGCAACCCGCCGCTGCCGCCGCTCTAGACAACGATGACGACGACGCGTCGACTGAGAATGAGAAAGAAGATGATGAGCAGGAGAAGAAGCAGAGTGCGGTGGTCGAGAAGCTCGAAGTTCGACCGTCCTCTGCGGCTCCGCGCATCATCATGCTCAAGACCAACAAGGAGAAGGAAGACGAAGAGCGCAAGGCAGCGGCGGCTGCGAAGAAGAACGAAAGCGAAGCGACGTCGTCGTCGGCGTCCCACCTGCAGCCGTTCCCCTTTGGTGGCGGCGGATCGCGGCCGCTCGTGCAGGAGATAGGCCCCGGAGGCTACAGGCCCGCCGCGTCGTCAACTCTGCGTCCGCTCATTCAGGAAATCGTACGTCTGCCAGCCCGCACCGCAAACAATCCACCGAGCTTCGACTTACGCCCGCGTGTCGTGCGCGCTGTGTGCTGCGTGCCTCTGCGTAGTCATCCACATCAGCGGCCGAAGAGGGGGATGAGGACAAGGAGGACGAGATCATCGACGTGGCGCGGGAGATGAAGGCCGTGAGCATCAAGCGTATCACCGGCGACCAGCCAGCTTCTTCTTCATCGTCTTCTTCTTCTTCGTCGTCGTCGTCCACTTCGGCCCCTGTCCAACTCCAAATTCAGCCCAAAGCCGGCAGCGCTGGTCCTTCCCTTCCGTCGGGCTTCATTCTTTCCTCGTCGTCTTCATCTTCGTCATCATCATCCTCCTCCTCTTCATCTTCTTCTACTACTACTACTCCCTCGTCTCTGATCATGGAGATCGATGCCAAGAAAGAGGCGGCCCCCATCGTCGTCCAACAGGAGCAGCCCTCCGCTTCGCTGCCGGCCGAGGTCACGGGCATCACCGCTGCCTCCTCCGCCACTGCCACTTCCGTCGCAGCAGCCGCTGCGTCGACAAGCGCCACCACGAGTTCGACGCCGTTGTCGCCTTTCGCGTCGATGTCGTTCGACGTGCCGAGCCCCCACCAGCGGGGCGAGGGCTTCCCCTTCTCCCCGCAATCGCCGTCTGCGCCTCTCACCTCCTCCGCCTCGCTGCCCACGTCGCCGTTCACCTTCAGCTCGCCCGGCGCCGCCACCCAGGTGCCGCCTGCCCTGGTCTTTGGCGCGGCGCCGGCGCCGACGACAACGACGACACCAGCGGCCCCGGCGGCCACGCCGCTGGCCAAGCCGGCTGCCCCATCGCTGGTACAGGCTGCGGTCGCGAAGCGAGCGCCGAAGCGCGAGGGCAAGGGCAAGACGCGCCCGGCCAAGAGCAAGGAGCAGGTAAAGGAGGAGATGAAGATGCGAAGCGCGATCGAGGAGAAGGTGATCGAGTGGACGCAGGACGAGAAGGAGACCATGCTCCGACTGCCGCGAAAAGAGTGTACGCGTGTCACGTATCACACACACACACACACACACACGCACAACCTGAGCAAGCGCTCACCTTGCGCTCGGTCTCTACAGACCTTCTGGAGAACGAGAAGGCCACCTTGTTGGGACTCATTGACCTCGTCTTCGCCTATGCCTACAACCAGAGGACCACCATGGTACGCTGGCTGTTCGTCATCGACACACACACACAAGTAACTGTTGGCTGACCACGCACACACAGGACGAGCCAACGTGCGAGTCGGACTGGACGATCACCAACATCAGCCCGACGCTGAGCTGGCTCGAGACCTTCGGCGGCATCGGTCAGACGCTCACGGCGTGCGTGCGACGATCCCTCGTCTACCCGCTCTACAGGTACACGCCCCGCAGTCCCTCCCCCTCCCATCAACCGGCACTGCCCTGCTCTGATCTCGGCTCTTGATCGAGCTCAGATATAGATCGTTTGATCGATCTAATCAACGATCATGATCCGTCAGCACTGATTCTCACACTGTTCTGTTGTTGCCTCTGTTGCTGTGTTGATGGCTAGGCACTGGGGACTGGCCCAGACGGTGATGGCGGATGTGGTGACGATCTTCTCCATGGGCAAGCGAAGCGTGTTGCGCGCCCTGCTGGGGGTGAAGCGCATCCTCGACCGATCCGACCCGCGCTTCTACCACTGCAAGCTGTTTGTCGACGACTATTGCGTTTGGCTCCAGGCCTACAGGTACGACACGCTCTCTCTGTTCTGTTTTGCTGCGTGCTTGGCTGCTGTTATGTTGTTTCCAGGGAGATGTCTACATATGGTCAAACGTTACAAGTGGTCACTTTCCATAACGGATTACACCCATCAACCCTCTTTTGCGCCTGGTGTGTGTCATAGCAACCATCGTCTGCGCTCTCTCTGTGGCAAGATCAAGGAGGCGGTGGAGCTCTTCGACAAGGAGGACGTCGAGTGGCCGCTCGACGAGCTCGAGCGTGAGGCCCCCGAGATGGTCATGGATGTCGAGCCCGACGAGGAAGCACCTCAGCATCTCTGAACGATCACGCTTCCCTCTTCGTGGGCCATTTTGACCGGCGTGACTGGATTTATCCGGGTTCGCAACCAAGAACGTGCGGCTAGATCGGTCCTGCGCACAAATCGTGCACGACCATTTGCAACACGGCGCCAACACACGACCTTTCTTCCGGTTTGCTGGGCCAGCCAATGCGCGCGTCGGGAAAAGGAAGGAATATCCGACCACCGACGGTCGTCTGGGTACCCTGTTGGCGTGTGGTGTCTGGGCAGCCGTGGTGGAGTTGTTGGGTGGTCTGGGCTAGAAAGTTGTTGTTTCTCTTTCTTCTCCCTTTGTTTGAAGTTGGCGTTGGATGGGAGGGGCCTCGACACCAGCAGCAGCAGCTTGAAGGACTGGACGAGGTGTGTGTTCGTTGTGGTGGTAAGCCGGCCGCGCGTTTTGGTTCGCTGCCCTGCCGCACTCGCGCGACGACTCTTGACATCTGGACACCGCAGACAGACGAGAAGGGTTAGGTCGGTTAGAGATCGAACGACGAACGAAACGAAGCGAATCGAGAACCAATCAATCCTCGGTCCCTCGCATCGTCGCGCAGACGAGATCGCTGGCGTATCGAGGAGACGACGAGAGGAAGATAGAAGATAAAATAGAGAATTAAAAAAAGGAAGAGCAGCCGCACAAAAGAATGAACTACATGCAAGGCGACGGACGAGGGCTGGGGGGAGGACCGCCACCCCCACGCCCCACGAGCGGCTACATACAGCACCAGCACCTGCAGGGGCACCAGCATCATCAGCCGCCTCATCTCGGCGGCGGCATGCAGGGACCACATCACGGCCAGCAGCAGCACCCCGCGCTGCAACAGCAGCACCACGCGTACCAGCAGCAGGCGCAACATCAGCCACCGGCTCAGCACCACCCTCCTCTGCCCTCCACGGCGTCATCGATGTCGCATCACCACGGCATGGGCTCGAATGGCGGCATGGGGAACAACCTGATGGGCTCGAATGGCGGCCTCGGCATCGGTTCCTCGCTCGACGACGATCAGCTGTTCAAGCAATTCTTGAAGCAGGACACCGGCAGCTCGGGCGTGGTGGATCTGGAGTACGACGGCGACGACGCGTTCCAGAAAATGGAAGAGGAACTCATGAACAACGATTATCTCTTCGACGCCCCGATCATGCAGATGCCTCCTGTCGGTGCCGATGCCCTGTCGAACCCTCCATCGGCCCCTCTGAGCAGCGGCAGATCGAACGGCCAACAACAGACGGCCAGCGGTACCTACCACAATCAGGGCGAGATGTATCCACCAGCATCGAGGAACAAGGGCTTCGATCCTTCGAATTCGACCAGCAGCGGGCCATCATCAGCCTGGGGAACCGCCTCCAACGAGACTTCGACAACCTCTACTACTGCAACATCTTCCACTTCACCTTCGACTACTTCCACAACGACTACATCGACGTCTCCTTCTTCCACTTCTACCACGACCACAGGCTCACCTCCGTCATCTTCACAACAGCAACCAGCAGGCCAAGGGGCGGGAGGTAAGTTTCAACTTGGGGGGGGGCAGCAAGAGAATTGGCGCCTGACGTATGCCGTGCAGGATCCCGATTTCAGCGCAATGGGCCGGCCAAATCTGAGGATGATCAGCAGGATCAGGACTTCTCGATGGGCATGGCGCTGGGCAGCGACGGCACGGGACCCCAGGGGTCCAAGCAGCAGCCTGGGCCATCGGGAGCGACCAACGCGAGCGCCAGTGCTGGCAGTTCGGGGCCCAGCAGCGGTCCCCCGTCCGGCAACGCGCCACAGCTCGGCTCTTCGACGTCGATGGGCCAGCCCGCCGCGGGGCAGCAGCAACAGCCGCCCGCGCAGGGAGCCGGCGGTGGAGCGCAGCAGAGCCAGCTTCAACAGCAGCAGCAGCTTCATCTGCAGCAGCAGCAACAGCTCCACCAACAGCAGCTCCACCAGCAACAACAGCTCCAGCAGCATCAGCAGCAACAACAGCAACAGCACCCGCGCGACCTGCAGCAGCTTCAACAGCACCACCAGCAGCAGCAGCAGCAGCTGCAGCAACAGCAGCATCAGCAGCAGCAGCAGCTCCACCAGCATCAGTTTCAGCAGCACCAGCAACAGCTCCACCACATGCAACAACAGCAGCGACATCAAGCCGCCGCCGCTGCCGCTGGCCGCTCTGCCGCAACTGCACCCTCGCCGCCCTCGATCTCCACGCCTTCTTCTGGGCCGACGCCGCCCGCGCCCGCGCAACCCACGCCCCCAGCGCAGTCGACGTCGATGGGTCCTGGCGGCGGCCCAGGCGGGGGTGGCATGATGCTGCCCGGCCAGCAGATGGGCAAGTGGAAGGGTGCCGCCCACCACCAGCAGGCGCCGCCTACCGCCGGACCGGGCAGCAACGGCGCGCCCGTGGGCGGCATACCGTCGAGCGGCCCCGCGAGCGGCCCCATCGGTGGACTGCCGCCGCAGCCTCAGCAGCAACCGGGACCGGCAGGCGGCGGACTCATTCGCAGTACCTCCTACGACGCCGTGACCGGCCAGATGAAGATGGGTGGCGGAGGTACGCAGCGCCCAACGTTACACGGCATTTCTTTTTTTCGTATTTTTCTGCGCGAGGTTTAATTTTGCCTCGTGGTTACCTGTGTGGACGTTGCCTAACAACTGGTTACGTTTTTGTGTGGCGCGAACACACACCACACGCGTGGCAGGCATGGACCCGCGCATGGTGGGCGCGCAGGGCCAGGTCCACCCGGGCATGCAGCGAAATCCCTACCACGCCTATGGTGCCTACGGGCCGCCGCAGGGCCAGCAGCACGGTGCGCCGCCGCACCTCCAACAGCAGTCGCAACCGCCACAGCCTTCCGGGTTCGCGCCGCACATGCAGCCACCGCCGCAGCACGCGGGCATGACGCACGTAGCCGTCGGCGGCCAACCGCCCAACGCCTACTTCGCCATGCAACGCAACCCCACGCGAACCATGTCGAGCCCACACATGTCGCTCGGCGCCGGCGGTCCGGGTCAGCCCCAGCCGCCTCAGCCCACCGGCTACGGCGGCCAGTTCCACCCAGGTCAGGCTGCCCAGCCCGGCGGACCCATGTACGAAGGGTTCGTGCCCACCACTTCCCCTTCACGCCTGCGTTTTTCTTTTCTTTTCTTTCTTTTCTTTCCTTTTACCCCTTTCTCACACGCCACACATCGCAGTGGCCCGCACCCGTCGTCGGGCTATCCGTCGTCGGCCTACTACGGGCGCAGCGGCGGCGGCGAGCCGGTGGTGGCGCGTAACGGCGAAGGTGGCGCGGCGCCGGTCTTCTCGCCCCAGTTCCAGATGCAGGTGCGATCGCAGCATATGCGACGGCTCAACCAGGCCCTCGGCCAGCAGGTCACGCCCGGCGGCCCGGTCGCGGGCGGACCCACCGGCCCCGCGCCCGCGCCCTCGCCCGGCGGCCAATCGGGTCCAGCCATGGTCACCACGCCTGGCGGACCGCCGCTCGCCGCCAGCAGCATGCCCTCTCCCGCCGGACCGGGCCAAGTCGGCGCCGACGCCGTTGGTCAACAGCAGCTCAGCCACGTCACCACTCCGGGCGGCACCCAATCGGCCGGCGTCGGCGGCGGAGTGCCCTCGTCCGCCACCACAGTAGGCGGCCCGATCGGCGGCCTGCCACCACAGGCATCGGCTCCCGGCGGCGTCGGCCATCCCGGTATGGGCGGCTACCCGGCTCACCCCGGCATGATGGCCAAGCGACCCCCCGGCGGCATGGGCATGGTCGGCGCACCACAGCACCCCGGCGGGCCACAGACTGCGCTGGTGTCCGGCCAGGGCCAGCAGCAGCCCGGCGGCCAGGGCCAGCCGGGACCGCAGGACAACAACGTGGGACCCGGCGCGATGGTCGGGGTTCCTGGCGGACCCGGCGGCCCAGGCGTGATGCCTCCGAACGTGGGCGTGCCGCGGTCGGATCTGGCGCTGTCGCAGTTCAAGGAGGTCTGGGAGAATCTGGGGATGTACAGAAACTTCCTCTTCCAGCTGGTGCCGATCAACCCGAGCGCGCTGCTCGAGGCTAACGTCAAGTACATCCTCGCCACGCCCGAGGGCGCCGCCATCCGCACGCCCCTCTCCCTCTCTGTATATGTTGTAATGGCTCTCGGTACGTCCCGCACCCCTCTTCTCTCCAGCGCTAGCTTCCATTTGCTCATCGTCGTCTCTTCGCTCTTTCTTTCTCTCTTTCTCTTCGTTCTTTTTCTCTTCTCTCTTCTCCCCCCCAATGTGCAGGTTCGCTTTTGCGAGCCAATTTCCGGATGACGCGAGAGTTCGCCAACAAGGCCCACGAGCACTTGGTCCACACGCTGGAGCAACGACAGTCCATCGACTACACGCTCGGACAGGTGACGTCTCTCTTCTCCCTCTTTCTCTCCCAGCACTATAGAGCTGCGAGGCCTCAGTTACTCAAGACCCTGGGCAACATGCTCACCTTTCCTTCTCTTCTCTCTTGCAGGCGCTGTTGGGCATGGCCTACATCGAAGCTGCGATGGAAACCGTGCCCTCGTCGTCGAAGTGGAAGCAGTTCTACGCGGAGCTGGCCATGAAGATCTGCAAGCGACTAGGGTAACACTTGACACAAAGCCCACACGCAATTATCGGCCTTTTCGGTTCTCGTTTTTTTTGTTCCGTTTCTTTCGCTTACGCGCGTTTTGTCGAAATAACAACAGGGCCTACAGCAGCATCCTCTACTTCCACTCAATGTTCTTCATCTCGTGCGACCCCACCATCTCGCTGGAGCGGCTCATCCAGATGCAGCGTGAGGGCAACCAGACGCCCGACCTGCCCTACCACACCTTCATCGAACCCAACTCGGACGGCATCCGCCAGGCGATGCCCGTGTCCGTCCTGAGCCACGGGAGAGGTACTTTATTTCTTTATTTCTTTACTGTCTTGATTTATTGTTTGTTTCTTCGTTTCTCATTAGGCAATTATATTATCATTTTTAATAACAAACAATTCTAAATATGCAGGTAATGCGGCCGGCCGAGTGCTGATCAACGTCATCAACGGACTCAACATCCACATGAAGTCGTCGCAGCTCGAGCACTCGCAGCACGCGGCCGCGCAGCAGCCCGGCGGAGGTGGTCCGCCGCCGCCCTACGGCCCGCCCATGGGCGGCCCGCCG